TCCAATAAGGAAGATCAAGAGTCCTCTGCCTGGACTCCACTGGGGGCCCTGAATGCGCTCAGAGAGTCATGCCAGGGATATTCATTTTGGTGGTGTCAGCTCATTTTGAAATATTCCCCTGGTTTCTATTCACCGCAAAAAGATATTTGTGATCTAGTGGCTCAGTAACAGTTTGTGGCACACAAACTGCCACACAAGACCAGCTACCTGGTGAGCATTGACAAGGTTGTAGGATTTTTAGGGAAAACATTTTTAAAGCAGAATTTTTCTCTGAGCTGTCTTCTACTCTGACACATACCATCCCAAATCTGGCTCAGCAGCTGGAAACCACAGGTTCCAAAGCACCTATCAGAAATAAGAGCTCTTGCTATGGTTTATCTGTCTTTGGCATCCATCTCGTGCTTCAGTCTGTTTAACTGGCATGAGTCTAAGGGTCCTTCCCTCGGTCCATAGCCAAATTAATCACCAAACTAATAACACAATTATACAAAGAATGGCTCTTCCAACTTTACCAAAGAATTTCTTCCTGTGCTCAGAGAAATCATCCAGCAGGAATGAAAGATCTACCTCTGCACTTCTCAAACAGGTCTCCTCTTGCTTTGAGAAAGGGAAAGCAAACAAAAGTGTTGACCAATTAATTGCAGGCTACTTAGTTGAGGTCATGTCCACAGAGGGAATATATCTGCATTTTTAAAAAAGTAACTTATTAACCATTGTGGATAAGTGTATGTGAGATAAAATCTATTGAAGCGATTTTATAAAGCACATAAAGATCTAAATCCCACTTTGAAGAGAGATTTACAGCTTTACATTTTATCCCCACTGGCAGCATGACCGGAGATGAAACTTCCATTGATTGGCTTCAGTGAGAGTTAAAAATAGACAGACTGAAATCCCCTCGCTGTCCAAGAGCACAATAGAGCTGCTGCTGCTCCAGAGAACAAATGTCTAACTTTGGGTTATTTTCTGCACCTCTACACTGGCAATTTTTCCAAACTGGATGAACATTTCCATGGTACTACTGTGAAAATTTAAACCTGTGTGGAAAATTAACCCTCAGCCATGGTGCATTTGAGAAGGTGGCAGGAGAAAGCAATCCCAGATTGGGAAAGGGGGAAAAAATAATCCTCAGGTTACTATGGATTGGGAAAGTGGGGCAAGCAATCCTCAGATTACTGCAGGGCAGCCACTTTACTGTCATGGCAAAACCTCCTACAGACATCTCCAGAAACTGAGAGAAGTACTGGAAAAGCACTTAGGAGGAAGGAGATCCATATTCCCAAGAGACTCTGCTGTGACTAATGCACACAGCTGGATTCTCAGGTCCTCAGGAGCATGAGTGTCACATCTTCCCCCTGCCTGGGGTCCAGGCCATTCCCTGCCCAGCATCAGGTGGCCCTTTCATGTCATAACACAGCCTGTTGATGGAGCCAAGCTAGGCAGATTCATGTGGTGTCAAATTTTGATCCAAGGTCACAGAAGGAGGATCTCTCACCCAGTGGGCAGCAGGAGTTTCCCATTCACAGCCTGCAGCAGGAGGAGGGATGTTTGCTCCAGATGGCACACTTGCAAAAAGGATGGCTTAAACCACTTACACTGAGTGACAAAAATCAGATTATCTGGTAGCTGATAAAAGGTTAGTTACAGATCAGATCTATGAGCATTATTTATAAGAACCAGTTTGACCAGGGGAACTAACTGGAAATTTCTGTGCTGAGAACAACAGAGCAAATGGGCAGCATGAAGCAATTCAGACTACAGGATTGATTTTAAGACAAAATGCTCCTATAAAGAAGAAAGCATTCAGCTCTGGAGGCCTCATTATAAGTAGGGCAAGGACCTGTAGGAGGCAATCCAAAGGAGGGCCACAAAAATGGAGAAAAGGAGGCTCCAGGGAAACCTTATAGCACCTTCCAGTATCTAAAGGGGATCTACAAGAAAGCTGCAGTGGGACTTTTCATAAGAGCATGTAGTGATATGACAAGGGGGAATGGCTTTAAATTGAGAGTAGGTGTAAATTAGACATTAGGAAGAAATTCTTTACTGAGAGGGTGGGAAAACACTGGAACAGGTTGCCCAGAGAAGCTGTGGATGGCTCATTCCCAGAAGTGTTCCAAGCTAGGTTGGAAGAGGCTTTGAGCAGCCTGGTCTAGTGGAAGGTGTCACTGCCTATGGCAGAGAGGTTGGAACCAAATGATCTTGAAGGTCTCTTCCAACCCAAACCATTCTGTGATTCCATAATACTTAAAATTTTTACTCTAAACTGTAGCAATTACACCCAGCCTCATATTTAAACTTAGATTTTTACTTCCATTTGTACAGATTCTTTTAGATTCTTGCTGATGACAAGTACATATCAAAAAACATCCCTGAAGATGAGAACATACCCTGCAGGTATGACCTGCAGCTCTGTTGGAATTCGGGTAGCAGGTTTGATTCTAAAAATGACATATTTATTTCAATAAAGAGGGCAGAGATTGACTCATATTTGTTAAGAAACGTGTAGCTCATGATTTAAAGGCATATTGGTATGAAGAAGCCCTGCTGAAAGAAGTTTCCCAGCATTCATAAAAATGAAAAAACATCATTTTAATACAAAAGTACATTTGAATGTTGGGAGAATATTATACAATTACACAGACTGTAGTGACCTATCACAGCATTTCAAAATTTTGTAAGGTTTCCTCAAGAGCTCTAAACTCTCAGAGGTCCTCAGTATTTCACTTTCAAAGTCCTTTTCTTCCATGCTTCATTTTGAAGCCATTTTAAACCAACAGTGTTGTGCCTGCATTTTTTCACGGTCATGTGGAGCAGGGTTTGTGTATGTTTCGGAATGCAGACATACATGCAGAGAAAGATAATCTCCTTAAGTCTGTGATTCCAGGGGGTGAACAGAGGGAAGAACTGTCTTCTGACTCACAGTGGAGAATGATGGGGATTTAACCCCACACACTGTCATTCCTCCTGAAGCTCAGAAAGAGCAGAGGAAAGAAAGAGGCTGCTCAGGAGCACATCAGCTCCTCCATCACAACCCTGAGTGCACCGTGCTCGTGGGCGCCCATGGAGCTTGTCAGGGAAGGATGTGAAGATGATCACCCTGTGTGTGATGTGAAGGTGATCACCCTGACTAGAAAGAAGTAGCCAGACATGGGTTTGAATGAAGCTTGCCTCCACCTCAAATACATAATTCAAAACCCAGGCTGTGAGTGACTCTCCTCTTGCCTTCCTCCTGAGCCTTTCTGTACTCACAAAGAGGAAATTTTCAGTGACTTTTTTTCTGGTTAGCTGATAAATTCCCACACAGCTCTTTCTCATTTAATGTCATCTTATTGAACTTTAGAAAGATGCATCATACCTTACAGGAACAGATTCTCACCTTATTAAAATTAAAGGAGTGTAAATACTGGGGAAGGAAAAAGAGTCCAATGGTCAGAGCCCTAGCTAGGAATGCACAACCTTTCTCACTACCTGCTTTTGCTTTAGATGTCTTCTAAGAGCAAGATAAGCAAAGTTAAATAAAAGGTTCAGTCCAACAGTGTCATCTGTGAAGGGGATAAAAGGGCTTCCTTTTCCCACAGAAACATTTGGTTATTACCAAATACAAAAGTACTGAGAAGAGCTTGGGTAGCCAGGCATCTCTAAAAACAGTCTTTTGTTTTATGAAGGCAGCAGTGAAGCAGGTGGTTTTAAGGTAACTTTTAAAAACTAAGTTTAGTTTCTCAGATAATGCAGCTGACACTCTCTCACTGCTGAGCCTGCTGGCTCTGTGGGTTGTAGAGTCAACAGTGTTTGAAACTGAGTTACAACTACCTACAGGCTGAACAAAAGAGCTATTAAAATCATTTCACATTAAATTCCTGGGTTTTTTCAAAGTAGATTTCAGTAAAGAAAATAGTAGTACTTCTTAGCTCTCAATAAATCCATGTTTTTATACTTAAATGTCCTGGTTTCCAGCTGTGATCATGGTCTGTAAAACTTCTTATGTTTTTCTTGAAGCTTCAGGTATAGAAGACAAATACCTACACAAGAATTACATATTTCATGTAAAAGTAGTGATGGTTTTCTAAGCCCTTGTGGCTGCATGGGAATCACTCATTCCAAAGGATTACAGTTGACAGTCTAAAACCTCAGTGCGTGGAGACCACCCACAATTAGGAAAACCTGAGCAAGGCAATCCTGGGATTTCACCCAGATAATCCAGAGGACCAAGTTTGTGCTGCTCTCATTCTGTTGTGTAAATGGTGTAAAGAGCCTTGTTCCATCAGCCCTGGCTCACAGAGCCCCCGGGTGGAACGGAGCAGCTCCATGGCAAAACCACTGCAAACAGAACTGGCTCTTTTCCAGAGACCCCTTCTTCCCATAGTCCTTCAGTGCCTTCTGCAAAAAGCTTAGCAATCATGTCTTGCACATGTGCATGTAAGAACTAAACTACTATAAAGTGAACCTATGCCTTCCATTCTTTGAGGTTAAGATCTGTTTATTATTTTCTTTCATGTTGATCTTTGTTTCATTTGGTCTCCTTACCATACAAACCCCATCATGCACTGGGAAATGAATTACTGAACTTCTGCTGCCTTTTAGTTCCTCTCTGTGAGTTTGTAAAGCACTACACCAGATGTTAAGTGTCCTAAATCACAGCTTCTATAGATAAATCAGAATTTCACAGCAGGTGTAGACCATGGCATCCTTGAGTCCCAATCAGTCCCTCCACAGTCCAGATCATCACACAGCTGGAGAGCTCAGAAATGGAGGTCATTCCTGGGACCACAAGATAAACTGTACTTTATGATTAATGCAGATTCTTTAACAGATAATATGCATAAAATAAAACCAACATTTTGCAACCACTGCATGCTAGTCCCCTGAGTTTCAAGCCCAAACATCACCAACAGATGAGGACTGCCAAAGGAATTAAGGTAGTTAAATAAAGAGTCAGAAACATAAAATAAAGCCTTTAAATGCATAATAGTACACAAATGTTTGCCATGTAAGATCCTTACCGCAGTGTCATTGGTGGTGATGTACACCAGCACATCCGAGTTGTTTCTGCCATTGATGTATCGGTAACAGTTCCACACACAGCTTATCAAGTACCCCTGCAAAGAAAAGAGATTTATTATTCTGTGCAGAAAATAAACCATGCATGCTTTTCTGATAGAGCATTTCCATTCTTTATAAGCATGAACATCAGCATGATAGAAGCATGGGACAGTCACTTCCCTGGTTGCAGTGACTGTGAGAATGCCTGGGAGCTCTGTGAGTAATCCAGTGTCATTCCCCATACTGATGGCATTGGGGTTCTTTGGAATTGGGAAGGTTCTGGGGACACCTTATGGTGGCTTTCAATATATAAAGGGAGCTTACTAAATCAATGTATTCCATGTGACTGGAATGGTCTGGGGTCTTGGTATTCTTGCCTGACTAGGGAAAATTACCAAAGTAAAAGCTTTTATTGACATCTTAAGTTATTTCTGACATTTTAAACATTGTTAAAAATACTGGTGGGGTTTTTTTCCCAATGTAAAACAAAACCTCCAGTAATAGCAGCAATAAACCTACTGCAAGATCATAAACTTCACTGCTTTTGTTCTTGGAGCTTGGGTAGTGCTGCTTCCTGTCAAACAATTAGTTGTCTCCACTTTTTTAACTGGTTGGGCAGAATAGCCACCACCTCCTTCATGAGCAGGAGAGATTTGACGTGGAGGAGCTGGAGTCAGATCCACAGGATGTCGGTAACACAGCTGGCAGGACCAAAGCAGTTCTCTCTGGAGCTTTCTGCTTCCCATTGTTGGAGGCTAGGGTTTTACTTTTGTTTTCTTTCAAACCAAGACACCCATGTAGTCACACATGATGGTGATGAGGAGAACTTTGTGTTTTGATAGTGTCCAACTTATATTTTTACTTAATGGGTCTGCACAGAAATTCTTCCATAAACCTAACACATGTAGATTAAACTGCCAGCACTGAATTTGCATGTGTCTCTCACTGAGTGAGTCATACTTTTGTGACTCACTTGCACTGATGGCCTTCCAAAAGCCTCTTATCCCTTTGAGCTGCCCTGTGCTTCCTCTGTCTCCAGAGCTGACACACATGAGCTGTGTTTTTCAGGATGCCATGTGATTCACTCATGGCTTGCTTGCAAATCAGGAAGGTTTTTTTCCACCAGGGCTGGCTAAAATCTGGTAAATTTGCTTCCTCTTTTTTCACAGCGCCTTACAGACCCTGGATTGACTTACAGCTGTTGCAGACTTTGACAATATTTTTGGCCATCAAATGGAGAGAGCAAAAGGCTTCTGGAATGAGCTAAATCCCAAGGGAAGATTAGACAGGCTCTGCAGACCAAGCTGTGGGCTGTGCAGTCCCACCCCAGGCTACTGAAACAAGTAAAGGCACACACATGGAGAACTGCATCTCTTCCAGAATCAAGTAAAATGTCATTGTTAATTTAAAGTGGTAATAAGTAGTTCAGCAGCTTTCAGTGCTCAGATACTATAGCCTGGGAAAGGCATAAGAGGCAATGCAGAACAGAGACTGAATATAGTACACTTCTGTGGGGACACAGCCTGTCTATATAAGAAACCCTTTACATTAAGCCTACCTATTTGCAAAACTATTTCTATACCACTTCTGTCAAAATCCAGAGTGATGGAAGCCCTGTTTTGGATAATACAATCCTATCAGGGAGAAGCAAGTGGGAGATTTATTTTTTAATGCTCTCATTCCATGTGGTGAATAAAACACACTTAACCCCACAATGCACCTCTACAGCTTTCCCAGCTCTGAACCCTAGCTCTGCATGCACAGGCTGTCTCTCACTGAGTGAGGTATGTTCCTTGAATTAAGGAGGTCATCAGCCAGCTCACACCAAGGAACTGGCCCTGAGACACTGACCAGCACAGGGCAGAGAGTGGCAGCAGCTCAGAGCATGTCCCTGTCCATGTGCTCTGGCCATGTGCTGCTGGCCTGCAAACCATGACTCACAGAAACTTGTTTTCCTCAACCTGGAACTTTATTTAGCTCATTCCTAAAAATTATTTTCTACCAATACTGTTGCACTGTTAAATGGGGCTCCTGATTCAGTTACCAATTTACTTTCCTGAAAGACTTGGCTGAGGTTTCTAATACTGCTATAAAATGTCTGGCTGGACACACAGTATATAAATACATTGATTTTTATCTCAGAAGACTAATGTTCACATTTGAAATTGGCCCTAGATTAAAGGCCTCCCTTGGCCTAATCCCCTTGAGTGGATCTCCTGCTTACCACAGCACAGACTGGTGACAGACAGTGACACATTTTGGGGAAGGCAGCCCCAAGCAGCCACCACCAGAAAGGACAGGTGAGTAAAAAGGCTGAATGTAGAAACAGTCATTGTGCCTATTTCTAGCCAGCTTTTAGTCCTCCCCTTTGGATGGTGGGAAATTACTTGAGACCCTAAGGATCTGAAACTCACACAACTTTCTCACCCTGTCTCTCACTGCTGCAGTTGCAGACTCACCTGTTAAGCTGCACAACAACAGAAATGAACTGCAGACCTGTGCTCATCAGATGCCTGACCAGAAGACTGACCAGCATCTTTGTGGAAATTAGAGGTTGTTGTATTGTGCTGTTTCTTGCAACACAGCAAGGGAAAGTCTGTGCTGATCTGGGTCCCAGCAGCCCTCTGGGTAACCCCTCCCTGGCAGCAAGTGCAGGGTGAACACCACAGACCCAAGAGAGCCCCCTCAGGTTAGTAGCTGCCTGCACTGAATCCCCTTTGACTGCCCAGCTGCTTTGATTTTTCTATTTACAGAGCTGAGATGGGCTTCAGTCACTGGTGAAAATGAGATAAAGATCTCTACACAAACTGAAATTTATACGAAGATTTCAAATTATGCTAATGGAAGACCAGTTGACCACATGTACTTCCCATGTTGGTGTTACAGAGAGAGAAACAATGGGTTGCTGTGCTGATAAAATCTGGAATTAAATTCATCTTCTCAGCACACTAGAATGTGTATCTTGTGAGTTTAAAAGGGTTGTATAAGAACAATTGCTTAGAACTGAAAGAAATGCTGTAATTGGAAAGAATTAGCATTAAACCAAACCACTGCTCTCAACACTTTATATGGCATCTTACAGGGCCAGAACATCAGCTGTTGGCTCACAGTCACACACACTGAGGTATGCAATTTTAAGCAACTGATCCCTGTTTTAGAGACGAGTCTCCCATAACTATCCTGTCATCATCAGTGCTGGGACTTGTCCTAGGCCTTTGTGGAACAGGTGACAGCCTCATGGCTATGTACTGGCATTCCTGGGAGTGGGGACCAGAGCTGGGCTCTTGGGGCTGTGTTCATGGTCCCAGGTGCTGCTCAACAGCCCTGCAGGAAGGCAGGAGATGCCAGGTGATGTGTTGAAGGGCTCTCCCCCTGCCAGGAAGAATGCCCTTGGACTGAGGGCATTCACCCAAATCTCTCAGGGAGAACACAGAACTTCATTCTTATCCTTTCCCATCTGCTGAGGACACCAGGACATGCAGAGTGGTCTCACCTCTGGGCTCAGTACCTTGGAGATGCAGCTTACAGGCATGTTATGGAGAACACATCACACTGGCAGCTACCTCTTCCTACCTACTGTTCAGAAAGAGAAAGGCCAAGGACCAGCCCGTACTCTGAAGCTGCAGAGTGCTTGGGGCAGCCTGGGGAAAGGTTTGATCTGGCTCATTATATTTATGCTCATCTGAGCTCATTTGAGCCTAAGGAGCTTCCCCATGATGGAGAAGTTGAAGCCTCAATTGTTCTGTCTCAGAATCTGGGAGAGCTGAGAGGACACGACTCAAAAGTCCAAACCAACTGCAGAGGACACAACTCAAAAGTCACAGTGTTGGCTATATGCAACTTGAAGTCCTGTGTATACAAATGCACATATAAATACATTTGTGCTGATGGATGTCCTTCCTCAGCCAGATAGGAAACATCTATGTTTCATGGTATGCAACTTCAGTTCAGTTTCTAGACAAATACAGTGAATGGAATAATGTACTTTGGTCTACTCTGAAAAGTGTTCTGTGTGAAACCACCTGAAATTCCCATTAGGTGCTTCAGATGCAAGTAAATTATAAGGACTAAAAAGGCAAATGCTTGTGTGTGGTTAGCTTTCTTACCACCCTCTCTTGTTCACAAACCCATGACTGCAAAACACAAACCCAGCATCTAATACTGCATAATCTTGCTTTCTGCTCAGTAGTGTTCTTCTCTAAGTGTAGCTTCACCCAAACCAAAAGTGTCATAATACCAAATACTTCTGAGGAATTAGGTGATTCTGTTTAGTATTTCCTGTCAGCTGAATGCAGCTTTTCCCACTGTAGCTTTTCCTAGGTCACAATGTTTTGGTTCCTCTCCCTATTTCTAGTTGAACTCCAGAGGGAGAGGAGGCATATTTTTTTATACACAGTACCTTTCCAGTTTCAATACATAAATGTGGTACCATCTGTTAAGTCTATCAGAGATGAAAAGTGACGCATCTGTGTGTGTTCACCTTTTATTTGATGGAGCAGATTCTGTAAATCTGCATAGCAGCTCTTCTGGAAACATAAGAAATTCAAATGAAAATGTTAACTGGACTTTAGCATATGTTTCTGTGTAAGTCACATATTTTGTGACTCATTTATATGATAATACATTGCTAGAATGAGCATTATATAAGCCACATACACTCTTGGAAAAAACATGTTTTACCACTTAAAAACAAAATGAGTCTTTGGTACTATTAATTTCTTAGGTTTCTTGTCTCTGTAGTAAGCATTTTTGCCATTCCAATTTTAGTTGCCTTTTTTTTTTAAATAAGCTTGAAGCTTTATTGACATACTTAGTCAATGAAACACCAGACCCACACAGGGTAATATCAAGCTATAGGTTGCATCACGGAGCACATTCCCTGTGGAACCTCAAAAATCTATGGATTTATTAAATTCACACATATTTCTTAGAAGTGCAAATAAAATCAGCTGTATGGTTGTGAACATATAAGGCCAGAAAGCTGAAGCAATATAAGCTATTGCTATATCACAGCAGAGGAGTGAGCACAGCTTCCAACAGCACTTTAATACACCGTAGCTGTTGGGTTTCTTTCCCCAATTTTGAAGTAGCTTCAATAACCTAATCTACCTCTTTTGCCACAGTAACGTTCCCTGTATATATCATATGCATTGTCTGGAAGCAACACCTTTGGTGTCACTGTGACTCTTTGGGACTTCTCTAATCTAATGCAAAACTACTTTGTAGAGAGAGCAAGACTAATCTGAAATAAAGTCCCACACAAGAAATACAAAACCAGCAGCACTGTGCTGTGAGAAACTCATAGAAGGCTGCAAGAAAAGGGCAAACACACCAGCATATTTTACAAGAGATCCAGTGCTCAGGGTACTAGTAGGAGCCACAGGTGATTGTTTTTCCTACATTAATTTGTGTGATCTTATTCTGAGCTCCTTTTGAACTTCTGGCCCACAGCAGGATGAGTCTGCTGCACTGGACAGTCAACCTGGATGTGGTGGTTTCACATGAGCCCTTTCCAGCTGCTCTGGGAATGCTACACCTCCTCTTTGCCTGGTACCTGCCACCTGCAGGCCTCTCACCCACTAGGTTTGCAAATAAATTCTCATTCCCTGTGTCCTTCTGTTGCCAGGTCTGACAGTTCTTTATGGTGCTCTTCCCAGGAGAGATTGCTTTTTTACCTGCTCTACAGAATTCTTTCTGAGACAGGGCACCCACCAGAAGGGAAATCATGCCTCCAGAGATGGTGGGCATCAGAACTCGCTAAGAAATTACACAATTTATATTTTTGGTTTTTCTATTCCTTTCTTAATATTCTTAGCTTTTGATTTACTTGTTTGACCAGAAATGAGCTAAGCTAATATTTTCATGTGTCTATCTGTAACAGCTACAAGGTCCCTTTTATAGGTGGTCATTCTTACTTCAGAGCCCACAGCAGTGTTTGTGAAACAAGAGCATCCTTCCTCAGTGCCCACTACTTAGAATTTTTTACCACTGAGTTTCTCTACCATTTCCTTGTTCAGTCAGTCCATCCCATGAGATTCTCCTGCAAAGATTTCTTGACTAATTATTTTCCCCATTTTGAATGACACTGCAAGAAAACGTTGCTAGAGTTCCTTCTCCTTCCCAGATCTCTTATGAATGCACTGAACTGCATGGGTCACAGTGTTGGAAAGACTGATAATTTATCTTTATTCCCTAGCTACAGTCAGTGATGTGACCTTATCTCTTCTCCCTACACATTTTAGGGTAGTTTTAAAAGTTTTTCACAAGACATGCTGCCAAACACATTCTGAAAAAACAAGAAGTCTGTTTCAACAGGTTCTCCCTTGTCCACTGCTTCAAAGGATTCATAAGCCATGAGTTCCTCCTACAAGAATCACACTTCCCCATTGTGGACTACATGTTCTTGTGTTTGCCTATGAGATTTTCACAACTTTTTCACATGTCTATAACCCTGTTTCCTATAGGTATCAGGCTGCTGGGGGCGTAGTTACCCAGAACTCTTCTAAAGACAGACTCCCAGCAAGGGACATTCCACCCATGACCAGAAGTGGACTTTATACACAACAATGCACTTACCTTAAAAGCCAAAATGATACTTATGAAAAGGAGGATAATCACAACCAGACATGTAGGGTTCACAGACATAATCTCTTCCTTGTAGGGAAAATTGTTGGGCTGTGTAAGCAAAAACAAGCAGAACACTGTGAGTCAATCTCAGAAGTCATTTAAGAGCCATTCAACTAGTGCACTCTATAATTAACAGCTTACAAAGCTTTCTGTGATCCACTAAATCTGGATCTCTCCCCACCAACAACCAGTTTCAGTAAGTGTGGCTACAGCAGGCACTGTGAACACTCAGCTGCCAAAGGCTCCCTGGAGGGCTCAGGGATTTGCTTGTTGCTTTGGATGTGGTGTGGGCTCTCTCTTCCTCTGTGCACACTGGGTTTGTATCTGACACAAACTAGCAGAAGTCTGAGAGCTTTGCAGCAGGAAATCTTCCACCATGGGAAATGGCAAGCAAATCTCATACTTACTGAGTAATCATTACACTGGCACTGGTTGCCAAAGAACAATGGCAGCTCTTTCCAGAATATCAAAGCAGGAAAAACTGGAGAGCAGAATCCTTTCACCTAATATTTTATGACATTTCAAAATACCTTGAGTCTATTCTACTCCATCTTATTTTGGCTAAATTTGAACTACTTCTGTAGGAGCACGTGTTAGTGCTGCCAAGTGTGTGCCCCATGGAGTCATGGGTCCTACACGGTGCCACCTCATGATTTCAAGTTGAAATGTGGAAATCTGCCCCAGGCCCTTCTCTTACCACATACATGAAATAGAAGTGACAAAATGAATCTTCCTGCTTAGCACAGACTCTAGTGATTTAGAGCTGTGAAACACTTTAGGATCAGTGACTGAAAAACAGCTCCTAAAAATGTTTTACTGTATTTTTTATTGCTTAAAATTCCAAGCCCTTTGAAAAGAATGTTCCAAATAATTCTGAAATACTGCAAGATAAAAGTTCCTGTTTCAGTTAGACTAAACCATTGTTCACAGACAGAACTGTTCTCCACAAAAGATAACTCCACTGCAACAGTAGCTCATTATATCTGAATGCAATAGTTCCTTCCACAGCTCCCTGTTCCCTTACAGGTCTAATTACTTAACCAGGCCAGCTCTGCATCCTTGTCAGGACAATTAACCAGACCGAGCTACAACTGTATTCTTGGCAATGATGGTGTAAATCCAGAGTAACCCCTTAATAACCCTTATTCCAGCACTCAGCCCAGTGCACCAGGAAATTATCTTTTTTTTGGACAGCTGCTACTGAGAATAGCTCTTTATTTAGCACTTCCATGAACTGTTCAGAGTGGTTAACATCAACAGCAGCTGTAACCATTTGCAGCTAGATGTTACATAAGCACATTTTCCACTTCTTGACAGCAATGTTTCTGTTCCTCTGCTGAACTCCATGACTGAAGTTTTTATCATGTTATCTTCTTTGTTGAGGTAGAGCTTTTGTAGGGAACTAGCTTGCTACAATTCAATAAGTTACTGCTTTTTTTTTCCCACAGAAGGTTATTCTAAATACAGTGGATGCAGTCACCCAGAGACCAAGAAAGTAAGAATATATGCAAAGAAACAATGCACTTAAAAATGAAACAAAAACTTTATATGCATAAAATTTAAGTATTAATGCCCCAACCTGCCCTCCTGTTTGCAGAAGGGACACCATAAGTTAGGAAGGTAGAAAGTCCAGTCAGTAAGGACAGTTACAGTAAATCTGTACCCAAATGATTTTTTCAGTACTGATCTACCATTAAAAAAACAGTCAAAATAGTTTGTGAATATAATAAAAAAATCCTATTAAGACTTCGGTTCTCAAAGAAGAACCTGGTTTTTGGGAACCAGTCACTGGTCAAAGACTGGATGACTGCCTGCTGTGTTTTTGGCCATAATCTAATGGCTGTTTCTAAACATCAGCTCAAAAGGGCTTTGCACGGGGGCGAGAGGAGGGCAGGCAAATGACCAAGAAATTTTCCTGCTTGAAAATCAGGAACATCTGCTGGAGCCATGATCCCTGGTGAAGTCTGGGCCATGGTGTTCTTCCCTTATACCAGCACAAGTGTTTCATCAAATATTTCAGCAAAGCCAGGAGAGCACATGAGGAACAAATACTGAGGTTTGTCCCCTTCAGGCTCAGCTTTCTGACTCTCTGTCCTGAAGAGATGAGAGGTGCAGGCAGCCCCAGCAAGGCAGGTGGGTGCTGCACCCATGCCATGGTCATCCCCACACCACACACAGGTGCCTGGGAGATCTTGGTGCAGGATGTGAAAATGAAAGTCTCTTCTGGGGCTTCCAGGCTTCCTGTGTGGGAGACAAAGCTTTCAGTTCTCTGATGGATAGCCCAGGAGCACTGGGTCAGCATGGAAGAAACCCCTTTGGCTTTTTTTGCTAACTGGGCTGGGCCGGCCTATGAGCAGTCTGATCTTAAATCCCAGCTACAAACCCCTCCAATGCTGTAGGAAAACCAATTTATGGTACCTGAACCTTTGGCAAAGAATCAGGAAAGATGGTAGGAAGCATCTCAACTGGCTCCAGTCTCACACGGTACAGGGACCACACTGGAATTGGCGCCATTAGGCAGCCCTTGGGGTCCCATCCCATGGCTGCAACTGTTCCCAAAATCTCATGAATTCCCACAGGAAACAGGTACCAAGAGTGGTTCAGATGAATCAGACCACTGGTATTCACTGACTGCAATGATGAATTTAAATATTGATGTGGATACATGAGGTGGGAAAAGAAATTCTGCTCCCGTCTTGGGAGTTTGCTCTCCTGTGGGAAGACCAATAGCTGAAATCCTGCTGCTGAGAAGGTTCCAGGCACTAGGTTCAGTGCTGAAACTTCTGGAAAAAGATCAGTGTCAGATGTTGTGCAAGGCTTGATGAAGCTGTGACTGAAATACATCTGGGTGGGAAAAACTAAGCCTATCATTGGAAATACAGGAGCGACTTTGGAGCAGAACATGATGAAATTTTCTATACAAACAAAAGGTAATTGCAATGGTGTTGCACTGGCAAGCTAAAGTTGTAATTAAAGTGTCATTTATAACCTTGTCATGGATATGGAGAGGGCTGTGTGCATAATAATATACCTGATACACTTCTAATTAAAAAAAAATACTACTTATGCATATCAAAGCCCTATTAGACACTTTAAAAGACTCTAAAATGTCCATGGAAAGTACATTTCTGCTGCATTGGTATCATACAAATGCACAAAAAGAATAAAATGAAAAAGGCTAAAGCCATTTCTCATTCCCTCAGCCTGCTTGCATGACCTTTCATGTCTTACTTCCCCTTGGATCACAAAAAATCCACTTTAAAATACAGTGTGTGGATTGTCATTCCAAGTTACAATCCTACAAGTATTGAAACTTACAACATTGAAAGAAAACAGCAATGTCTCTGTAGAATTTGTAAAGCTCTGCTATGAAGTTAGTGGTACTTCTTTGGAATTATAAAATGGCATTAAAAAAGTCAGAAAGGATATTTTGGTTTTAAGCTTTAATTTATAGGGGAAATTTCTTTAGGTTATTCTCTTTTATGTCCTCTAGACATTTCTCCATAAATTTAAAAGCATAACTGATACCACCTGAATTGTTAGGCAGCAGAGCATTGTATGCAGTCCCACAGTAAAGTTACTTAATATATACTTTGAAATTTTGTTTAGATGAACTGTCATAGTCCTGCATTTTGATTAGAAAAAAGTTTGCATAACTCAGTTGCAGACCAGCCTGTTCTGCACCTGTGCTTCAATCATTTCATATGCTGTTATCAGATGACAGAAGATGAAGTGTTTAATTGGAAGGCTTTAAAATGCCAATATATCAAAGATTTAGTGGGGTTAAACAAAAGAAATGTGCTTTAGGTCAAACTGCTTTAGACTTCTGCTTAGAGCAAGAACTAAATGATTTTTATTTTACACATGTTGAATTTGCTGTATGTAAAAGTTTTTGCTTTTTACATGACAATGACCAAAATATCCAGCGTAACTCTTAGAAACTTTGATCACATCATCACCACAAAACTTACTAAATGCAAAACTTGTAACATTTACTGATTTTACATGACCCTTCAGGCTAAGATGCTCTTGCAATCCATGGCAATTAAGTAGCACATCTGAGTGCAGCTGGGTATCAAAAGGCACCAAGAAGTTTCCAAAGAAGAAGCCAGTACAGACTGATGTTACCAAACACCCTGTGAGCACTATTGCAACACTTTCAGCTATGGCCCTGACCAGCTCATTGATATGTGATCATCATCTTGCTAACAGTACATGGAGAGTTTCACAGCAGCTGTAACTCATCACCCACACGCTGACAACTGGCAGAAGTAAAAGTAACCATAGTATGATACCAAAGTAACTATATAACAATACCAGATAATAGTGAAGTAGAAATGGTTAAAGAAACAGGGTTTTTCTCACATTAGAGCAAACAAAAAGTTCTTCTGAGACTGCTAAATGTATTCTGTTACCAAATGCAAACTTTCTTCCAGATATTCCATAATGAATTTGAAGAACAGTTGAGATTTTTCATTTACCTTATGGAGCTGTGCCCCCTAAAATACCATTTCCCCAATGCAAAGCAGTTTTAGAGGAACAGAAACTGTAAGAATGCCAGGAAGAAACACAATCCTTGTTCCTGCCTACCCTGGCAGACCACTGCAAAGGGGGTGATGGCAAGACAACCCCAGGGCTTGGGGTTTGCAAACCATCAGGAGGGATCCCACCCAAATGGCCCTGCATTCATGGTGTAATTGCCTGCGTTGATTTTCACCTTGTCCCATATCTGAGCATCTGGTAAGGGTGGATGCGCCCTTCACATCTCCCCTCTGCTCCTGCCCACTCAGACAGATGTACCTACTCTGAACCAAATGTAACAACCTTATGCCAACAAATGCAGCCCTTCCAGGTAAAAAGACAAGGGCCTCCAGTTGAGCCACATCACCTAAGACACAGGAGGCATAATCAGCTTCAAAGTAGATGCAGAACAGTTTCAAAACTTTTTTGAACAGGTGACATTAACCGTTCAAAATTCATCACAGCTCTTGGTAGTTTTTCCCCATCACTAATCTCCAGCACAAATGATAAAATACAAACTAATCCTTGCTTCTAAATGAACTTAACTTGAACTAGCTTCCAGCTGCTCATTAGCATTATGCCTCACATCTAATTTAAACAGCATTTTAATACCTCATTATTTTGCATATGAAAGCTCTAATGGCACTACCTCTTGGTCTTCTTTCTCAGTAAATGAAGCAGGAAAAGCTGATTGTTTCTCACCATACTACAAAATATCCAGCTTTTATATAGTTTATTCAAACTATACTTTTCTGTATGTTCTCTGACTTTCAAGCATTGTTTTTTTACGATCAGTCTCCATAAATAGATGAAGGAAATCCACACTACCGACAGAGAAGGGAAGCCTCCTCTCCCTTACTATTAATTGCTCTTTTTTCTGTCCACAAATCCCAAGAGCAATTTTTGCAAACAGCAAAACAACCTAGGGACTCTAGTTTTGGCATGTAAATCCCTAGGCTGCTTACAGGGTCACTGCATCCCAGGCACAGTTGTCAAACTGTATGCTCATCTGTATTGCTCAGGCCTTCACATTACTTGGCATTAATCTCTGTAGTAACTGAGATTAGTGGCTGAACTCAAGTTCTCAGGCAGTCCAGCTCAGTGTCAGCCGCGGGTTTCATTAGAAGTGAATTTGCTGGGAAAAGTCACAAGTGCTGCCACTGGGAGATGCAGAGCTGTGCTCACTCTGGGCAATGCAGGGGGGGGGCTTCCAGAGGATGACACAGAACAGCCAGATTATATTCCTGCTCACAGCCTCCCACCAAAGGACTCAATCCCTCCAGACAATGAGCCTGGAGAAGCTCTCCCACAGCTGACATCAGCTTTTGTGAAGTGCCTCTTGGGGTCCAACATTATTAATGGAAGTCAGGAGGAGCATGAAATATACTGCTGATTGCTGGAGACCTTCCTCTACTGAAAACAGAAACTCACTGGCAGATGGTCAGCTTGACCACAGCCCTGTGCAGTGTGCCAGCAACCCTCTCCTAATCCATGTGATACATCCTGTATTGATCTGGTGCTTTATTGTTGCTCTGAGCATCATGCTGCAAAGCCAAACATCTCATCAAAGCCCATTATGCCCCTGCCCATCTTTATTGATGGAGTCAGTAATCTTGTCAGTGAAGGAAAATGAGCTTGCCTGCAGGACTGATTTCCCATGAAACTGTGCTGGCAGTCATTAATAAATTTTTTCTGGTCTAATCCATTATCAATTGACTGTCCTCTCAGCCCCAGCCCTTCTGTTAATATTCTGCTTGGTAGGAATGTCAGGCTAATCAGCCTATAATTATCCTGGAAATCCCCCTTGCCCTTTGGAGCACTGACAGTTTAGCACTCCTGAAGACCTGCGGCATTTCATTATCAGTCCAGAATATGATTTACAACAGCAAGACAAAGATGTGTGCAACCAAAGATTCAGCACTCCAGAGCAGCAGTACAGATCACAGAGTGCTGTGCTGCACCAAATCCCTTCCAAAACCTGTTCTTTCTATTTCTGCTACAGAAGGACCTGTTATTTTTTTATCTGCAAGGAAACAAAGGGATTTTTAGCACACATTTCAAGAGGAACAGCTGGTCTTTGCCCTTCCAGTGAGTCAGCTCCAAATGCAGCACCAGATTTTCAGCAGAAGAGCAGAGGCTTTTAAGTGAACATTGACCAGCCTGTTTTTGTCCCCATCAAGTTCTTGCACAGTGACCAAGACTGAGTAAAATCTGGTTACTACTCATGCTCTGGGAGGTGGGGAGAGCTCTGCAGCCACACAGATGCTTGTGCTGCCAGAAGAGCAGGGCTGGCACCGATGCAGCAACAAGGGTCTGTAGGCAAAGGACGGGCAGCAAGGCTTCAGCAGTGGCAGTGCCAGCTGTAGCACTCCCAAACCATGGCTGTAATTTGCTCTTTTCCACTCATATCTCTGAGAACCTTTTGATTTATGCCTCTGCTTCTCTTCCAATGCACCATCAGCTGTGAATGCAGGTGGGTGTTAAATAAGATGGAGGATAACAGGCTCCTGATACATCCCAGCTCTCTCTGGCATGACACATTGCCTCCTCCTGCAGATTTGTGTGGCTACTTATCTGCCTGCTGGTTCTCATTACCTTTTATTTATACTGGCCAGCTTTCCATCCACACAACAAAGTTCACAGCCAAGCTAATCTGTATTCAGGTTCTCAAGGCAGATTTTCAGAGACATTTACAGCACTGGCTTCTCCAGAGCTCTGTGACTCCACGTGAACCCTGCTGGACCTGGGATGTGCTCCTGTGATGAGACAGAGGCTGGTGGGCTCTTGTCTTTGCTTTTGGGGGTTGTGATCATATCTTCTACACTTACGCAATACTGGCCGTGGATGTTTTTCAAGGCAGAATGAGAAGGGAGACTCTAAATATCCCTAGGACAGAATCCAAAATATTTTCTAGCAAAACCAAACCTACACTCAAACTCCTGCCTAATTAAATGTGTTATAGCTACCGAATAAATTGAAAGGAGCAATAAAATATCCTTGAAAGAGTACCAAAAATAAGCCATATATGAACACAATAACTCTGAATGCAAAAGCAATTATTCATCATCCAAGTCTTGCAATATGAGTCTCACTCTAAATGAATGGTGCTAGAGCTTTCACATCATTGCAAAACTTCTGAGCTTTTCACAAATATTGTAGTAAGTTACTAATATAGCCTTGCAAGGATGTTGAATTCAATCTGGCAAGGACTGAAAGAACTTCTCAAGGACTGTATGAGAAGGATACCACTGGCCAGAAATACAGGGCAGAAACTCCACCTTATAGAGGTTTTTCCCCCCAAAGCCCCCAGAGGTCTGTGAAGATGAAGTGATTTACCAGCTGGCGGAGGTAGTCCTGAATTGTGCTGGGATAGACCAGCACACTGATGGCAACCAACGTGTTGAGGGCAAAGTCAAAGATCTGGTAACAGAAGAAAGGGATGATCCAAGCTGCATGTTGCTAAAAAGGAAATAAATTAGAAACTCATCAGCCATAGGTTAAAATAGAGGAATATGTCTTTCTAGAGGAATCTAAGAAATATTTGACATTATGGAGTATTAAATCAGCTAAACGAAATTCAGCCAAGAGGTTTGGCCAAGGCAATTTGGCTGCTTTACTGCAGTCATATGTGCAGTGCAACTCCCACAACTCGCTACATTAGGAGATTCAGAAACCACACAATACTTTTCCTTTCTAATTAATAGGATTAATGTTGGAACAAACCACAGGCTTGGGAGGTGAATGGGAAGAATTCCCTTAACTTTGATAGGTACAAGATTCAGTTCTCTCAATTCACCATTTGCCCAGAGCTCACTCATATTTGAAACTGCAGACAATCAACACAACTGCAGCAGGGGGCCCTGGGGTACCACTGATCCAAGCGATCAGTTCTGCTGCCTCTTCAACTTCTTTTCCCTCTCCCAATTTTCAGTTAAGCAAATAAAAAAGCAGTTGTTAGAAAAGAGTTTTCTTAATTTTGTTTCTATGGAGTTGTGTGGTTCACTTTATTCGTGTCTCCCCAAATGTAATGAATTATCAAATGTAATGAATTACCTTATATGCACCATATGTAGCCATTGCACAGATCAGAATCATGAGGAGAGAAATTGCAGTGGCAATGCACATATCTGGAAAAGAGACATGACACATCAATGATTGAAGGCAAATTCAGAGCTTGGTTCAGTTATTTTACCACCTCCTTTGTGCAGAGCATCTCAAATGCAGGGTGGAGATGGAGTCAGGTGCATTGTTCAGGCATTGCTGGAGGAAATCTCTGGCTTTTAGGGGAACCTCCTAAATGCAAGAAGCACAGACATCTGTTCAAGTGCTGACACTTACACTGACACTGTGCAAACTGCTACAGCCTCTATAAAACCATGGAGATGAATGGTCTGGTTTTTCTATGGATTTTCAAAACTCAGGAGCAGTTTTGACAGGACTGTTTTACTCGTGGTGCTGATATCTGTAGTGAGAATGTGTCTGCTTTTCTGCATTCCAGATTGCTTCCTCACCAACAGCTGCTGCATGCCATTGCTCATATATCTCTATACTGTAAAAGGAGCAAAACTGGCAGATAAAGTCATCTTAGCAGAAATGACATCTTGAAAAATTTCATTTCAACCAATAATACTACAGAGATATATTTATTAATGGAAATGTATATCTATCAGGAAAGGTAAAGCATAAAGGAAGGAAAACATTCTATTCTTTAAAGTTTTGATTGGAGGAATTACAGGACTCCTATCTTTTTATTCTACTGCTGACCAGCTTTCAATTAAATCTTTATTCGATTTAAGAAGTTCCTAGGCCATGAACAGTTGGAAGGAGATCCTGGAGGAAAAAAATCACATGTTTGGTCTTTTCATATGCACCTCCCTAGGTAACATTACAGATCACTGTCAGGAGATCAGAAGTGAATTTCTGAACTTGACCTTACAGTGAGTTTGCGAGTGCATGGGATATTGTGCCTATTTTCTGAGGTTAAGCCAGTGCACAAAGAGGATGTGAGGTATATAGGACATGGCTTTAGAGATCCCACTCTGTTGGTATCTGTGAGGTCCATGCTGTTCACATTGCTGTCACCAGGTGTGTTTAAACTACCTGCCTTGATGAGGTACATGGAGGAGCTCTGAGATGCACAAACACACCACAGTGTTCAGGATGTTCATTACCCTGACTTTGGAACCATTCAAAGTGTAAAGATGGCATCGTTTCACCACAGAACTGCCACCACATCTAACTCCAGCATATGATGAGGGGCATGGAACAGTCCTCAACTCAACTCCCTGGATGCAGCAAAATCAGATCCTGGGTACATGCCCTGGAGCCTTCAGCCAAGTCTCTGAAGGGATGTGGCAGCTGTGGACAGGTCTCACCTGCCACCAGCAGGAAGCAATGCAGGCTCAGCCAGGTGATGGCTGAGGAGGAAGGACAGGCACCAAGTCTGATCTGTCATTATTTCCAGCCTACCACAATTATCATCCATGTAGAGAACAAAAGACCCAGTCCTTGATCCTCCTGTGCCTGAGGGAGCACAAACTTTGCCCTAGATGGCACCAATCCAGATTTCTGCATGCAGAGAGGAACCTGAGACCTGTGAAGCTGGAGGGAAAATGAGCAAGAGGAGACTGCTGCTGGCAGGTGAGGACATGTCCAGAGCTGCTTGTGTTCTCTGGCTCCTTGGGCACTGCACCTACCAACAGCAGGATTAAGGACTTCAGAACCCAGGTTTCCCCTTTTCCAGAACACTGCCTGTGTCCTAGGTTTCAGGATTCTTGTTCTCTCTCTCTTGCCCCCAGAGTCTGTCCATGTGATTGCATAGGAACTCAAATGCCACAGAAAAAGATCTATGGCAGATACTTCCTAATTTAATGGATTAAATTTGAAGGACCAAGTGCCCTTTCCTGGCACTTGGAGGAGCACATTCAAACCACTGTGGTCTGATGAGGCCCTGGAGCACAGATTCTTTCTCACAGTAGAAATGCCTGAATCTTTGTCTTATTGTCAGAATCAGCAGGTGTCACCCAGGAGAGGGGCCTGCACTCAGCAGCGAGTTTAGCTCACCCTGGTGCTCCCTGCTGGCTCCACAGTGGCTTCCTCCAGCTCAGCTCATGGGTGCTACACGATGCCATGGGGAGGCAGCTGGGCCCCCTGCTCATCATTCAGCAGGGAATGACACCTCAGTCATTCCAAACTGCTCTTCAAAGGCACCTCCTTCTCCTCTTAGAATGTGTAGAGACTCCAGACAACCAGTGCAGTGTTTGAGCTGCATTACCTCGAGCAATTTCTAGGTTTTTAGGAGCTGTAAAGGCTGTGCTGTGCTTGTTAGAAGTGATCTGAATTCTGCCCTCAAGAGGAAGAAGTATCCACAAAATACACCTCTACTAATAAAATATATACCTCTACTGCAGCCTCTTAAGACACTTCTGGTTGTGTGGCCATTTACTCTGGCTGCCTACATACGTCCTGTGAAATCAAAATTATTTTGAATAGACCAGGTACACTTAAGGTAATGAAAGAAAAGAAGTGAAAATTGCTGCTGTAGCCACTAACCTCAATTGAACCTCTTGTAAAAGAGGCTCATGGATCAATATTTTGATTCTGACCATCAGTTTGGAGGCATTGCTTATGCACTTGTTCTTGATCCCAACCACCTCCTTCCTGCACCTGGGGGGAAGCTGCTGCCATTGTCATTTGCAGCAGATGCAGGAGTCACAGGTTCCACTTTGCTGGTGACTGTGGCAGCTCTGGTTCAGAGCCAGGGCCCAGCAAACTGTGATGAGCTTGACATTGAAGATCTGGTCTGCACATTCCTGCTCCCTGTCTCCAGTGTCTCCCTAACTGTGCTCCACCATGCCAAGTCCTAGTTGGCTCAAGCTAGTTCTTTCTCATTTAAGGCTTCATTGGTTTTTTTGAGCTGTGTCAGCTTCAATTAATCAGAGTGAAACTAGATATGCAGCACATTAAATGAGAAACTGACAGGGGTGTGTGATTTTTTTCCAGCCATGCTGTGCTTTCTATGGCTAGAAGGGCTGCACTTGGACCGCTGAAGGGGTTATCTAGCCTGCTTGTCCTAGATGGCTTTCTGAGTTTTCTCCTTGGGTTTAAAGAAACCAGTTGAGTTTTTTAATTCTTATACCTTGCAGTGACATCCTACTTTCCTGCCTCTCTGGAGAGAAGATGCTGCTGGGGCTGGGCAGAGCTGCTGCCATGGGATACCTGTGTGCACAGCAAGCTGCAGCTCAAGCTCCCTCAAATCACCTCAGAAGTATTTCCTTGCCTTCCCCTCTCCTCTTGCAGAGGTGGGTGCTGCAGGGACAGGGAGGAGCAGCCAGCAAAGCCAGTCCCTGAGTGTGGAGTGATGAAGATCTCAAATCCCCATCACCTGCCCCAGCCCTGGAGTTAATCACTGGCCCTCAGCTTTGAGAGCAGGGGCCAGAAAGCTGCAGATCAGCAGCCTGCAGCCCTCCCTCAGTCCACTCTCCCAGCCTTATTTATCCAAGAGCCTCCTGACTGCCAGCTGAGGATTACTGCCTTGCCCTCTCCTGCAGGCTGCTTGTGCAAGCCACTGCTGCCAGCCACCAGGCAGCCCCTGGGTCACAACCTGCATAGCAGCAGCATTTTCTCCCTGGGAAAGAGAGGTGGACAATGAGAAGGAAAGCGTATTCTGCGCCTTTGAGCCCAGCACATTTACTCTAGAGTATAAAATTAGAGGGGAAGATGCTGCCCTGAATATCCTGTACTGGGAAAGGATCTGGATTTTTGCCCCTCCCTACATCCCTGAGACTAGTACTGCATAAGAGGTGTTGATGGACTGGGACAGGAATGTACCTACTCCACCACTTCTTTTTATCCCTCAGCAGAAGTCCAAGCCTGCTGTTGATTTCTTTATAAAGTTTTTCTATTTGAAGTAATATTTTCAAGTCCTGGGTGCATGTTATATTCAACAGAGAGATCATCACATTATTGTCCCCTGTCCTGAGATGTCTGCCTGTCTTGTCTGCCCATCCCAGGGCAGGGACATGGGCAGATTCTGACCTAAGTTGCTGATATCAGTGTCAAAGTTTCCCTCAGTTTCTGTAGGTCATGCAGAGGATTTCAATCCTTGCTGTCATGTGGCCTGTGAAGTATCACACACACATCTCTGACACTATGACAGCAGTAAATAAAACAGAGCAACACCCACTGCTTGTTTGGGCTGTTGACATGTCAGGATGATGATCTGTGTGTCTGGAGAAGCTGAGCAGAAGGCTCAGGCAAAACCCTCTGGGAAGTCAAAATGAATTAGAGGGCTTTTCCATCTCCTGCTCTGAGATTATTAGCCTTTTAACAGCAGCAGTATTACATTGAGCAGCTCACACATTTCTAATTTTTCCTAGTCCAGCTTCTAAACTCCCTCAGGAAATAATGAAAAGAAAGATGAGACTAAATGGGCTCAGCTGAATGTCCAGCACAGGAGGAAGCCCAGCATTTTACCAGGTTCTGAGATGTACATTTTGGGGAGCCACACACACCACACACACTGGTGTGCACAGCAAGCTGCAGCTCGAGCAGCTTTTGCTCCTTCCAGTACCTCCCTCTGCCACAAGGTTAAGTCTTGGCAGAATTTCTTCCCCCTTGCTTCCTTTTCTAGAATAGAAGGGAAAATAAATAGCCTAGAGCTTTTTTCTAAGTGTTCAGGTAAATCCTTTCTGTGACTAATCAAACAGGTACTTTGGAGGCTCTGGTAATGCCCTTGGAACCACACTAAATCCTGGGATTAGAACTGATGTTGCACTAGTATTTCCAAGCAGTTTGCACCAGACTGGCTGTGGCTCTGCAGGTGGCAGGAGTTTTCCCCACTGCTGGAAGAGAAAATTGAGAATTCTCCATAAACCAAGCACAGCTAGAAATAAATCTGAATATGAATATTGTGGGAATCCTGGTTTCTTGGAAGTCAAGGGAAACCTGTCATTAACTTCATTTGACTACTGTCACACAGCTGATAAGTTTTTTTTTCCAGATGATGTTTTCAGATCTTTTATGAGGGATCCTCTTACAGAAGAGAGAGGAAGGGAGTGACAAATTTTACATGTAAACTCTGTGTCTGCAGTTTTTTATTGTTTGCTATTGATAGGAGGATCAACATGAATGAGAGTAATGGCTATCAGTGTTTGTGTCATTGTTATTTGTCAACAGAAATACATACAGATAACTTTGGGACCTTCTTTAGAATAAAAAATTATGTATCTTCCTGTATTTCATACACATGGTTTCAGTGCATAGAGCTAACCTGGAAAACACTGCTTCAAAAAAGACAAATAAAAGTAAGAAAAGAGCAGAGCATGTGGAAGTTTTTCTGATGATTTATCTCATAATAAAACATTTCATTACATTTGAACAAATACAGTCATGCTTAAAGAATAGAAAAAGGAAATTATCTTCTGCCAGCTATTTCCAGTAACCATAAAAGTCAGTAGCTTGACTCAACTGCCTTTACTCAGTAAGGCACCAAACCAGAGGGAGTCAAAGAATAAAAGGAGACATTAATTCAAGTGTTCATTCGTAATTTAACTGCCTGTGAAATGTTCCCTTTACCAAATGGAAATGAGGTTGCTCGGCCCATAAGCCATCCTTTCACAGTCTTGCAGGGTTCACTTCAGAAGCCTTGATAAAAATATACAGAAAATACAATTTTCAAGTGTAGATGGAAATCCCCAATGTACTTTATCTGACAGCTACTGTATTACAAAACAGAATTACAATTTGAAAGCCTTGGGCACTGGCAGGCCTCTGATGTCAGCTATATAAAACCACACTGACAGACAGTTATTACCAAGGTTAATCTCTGAGAATTAGGACAAGGCAGTCAGTTTTAATATGTCAGAATCAGCTAGGAGCCCATCTGTATCTACTGTGGTCCTTACTTTCTCAAATCCAGTTATATAAAAAGATTTTTAGTCGGAAGTTGTAGGTGGGTTTTCAATGAAGACACAATAAAGTTGCAATCACCCCTTATCATTAGTTCAGTGTAGATCCTCAAGGCATATTTGTATAAAGACCTTGTGGAAATAAGCATCCCTTCAATGATACCCAGCATCTCTGACACAACAATGGGCAAAATTTTCCTCTCATGTGTAGGGCTATTGCTTCTCCTACAGACATTGTTATTGACTTCAGCAGGAATGACGAAAGGACTTAGAACCTTTAGCTGTGGATGGAGGAATTCTGAACAGAAAGACACCAGGGTGACTAGCAACAGACCTTGTTTCAGACTACTATGAGAAATGTTGAATGTAACCATTGTGAGCAGAAATGAAAATAAACAGACATTTTTATCAAAATCACATGGAGGGAAAACTTTACTAGATATGAATTAATTAAATCAACAAACCACCAAATAATTTGGAAAAGTTATGGAACAAGGAAACATTCTCAAAGGACAGGAGGTTTTGTAGGAGACATAAATGGCCTAGCTTACCCTTCTCTGAAACCATATTGAAGATTTTCTATGATGCCTTTCAGTAAGAGAAGGAATTGCTCTGTGTTATTGCTAATATGCCTGTGACTGTACAGTTGATATTTGCATTTGCATCTATTTACAGGTTTGTGCAGGTCATGCCAGATGCACAGGGGGTGCATGAACACATCCAGCATGAAGGAACACACTCAGCTGTCTGAACAGCAGCATGGGTTCCTGTGCATGTGCAGGCACTTGGGATGTGGTGCTGCAAGATGCAGAGACTCTGTATCTCCCTCTGGCCTGCAAAATTCCCCTGGGGATTTCAGCACCATGCTCAGGGATACATCTCCCTGCCAAGTCAGGACACAGCAGAGCAGATAGATTGATTACTAGTAGGTAGGTGGCAGATAAGGTTACTACTAGGAAACAAGTTTGAACTGTGTCATGACACCTTTCACAATAAAAATGCATCTGCAAGATACAAAGGTGAAGCAATAATTAAAAGGACAGTAATTACTGAAATGATAGGACAGTTACATAAACGCTGGAGCAATGAGTGCTAGTAATTAGGGAATTTGTACTTACTGGCATCATCCATAAATTCAAATTCACCCCCTAATTCAGCACTAGTCAGGTGGTATTGGTCAGGATCAGTCAGGGCACTCAGCAGAATCAGCAAGACCACCGAATTTATAATCTACAGAGAAGAAAAAGGGAAAAGGATCAGTCTGTGAAAGTAATCCATGAAAAACCTCTGGGCAGCACACACCCACCATGTTTCACACCACCTGATAGAGACTGTTTTCCAACTGTACAACTGTAGTATTTAACACTGTAATCAATTTCCCTAAGTTTGTAAACGGGACTGACTTCTTCCCTCAGCAGCAGCATGAAAATTAAACAAAATGTAGATTGCTTCTTTTCATTCTGACTCTATTCCACACCAGAAAAGTTACTGCTGCTCTTTCAGACTATAAAACACATTAGCCAGTCCTTCCGAGATTATTACAAATGGGTGCTGAAATCAAGGACTATCAGCATGGCAGAACCAGAATTGGGGGACAGACCCTGTAAAACTGCTAGATGACCAAAGAGAAGCTCAGTTACTGGAAAGGGCTGTGTTCTAAGAGGCCAGGAGTGAGGTGCTGGTTCAGGAGCTGCTAAATGAGGAGGCCTGGGGGGGTGGCAATGTGAGCCCCGTGTCTGATGCTCACATTCCTGTGTCATATGGCACAGATGGACATTCACAACAACCAAGGCCTCGGCTATGAAATGCAGTAAGTGAATGAAATGCCAAGAATACCAAGTGATCCAGCAGAAGCGGATTGTCAACAATCAGCTATGGACGGATTGGAGAGGTAGCCAAGAACTGTATTTTAAAACAAATCTGAACAAAATGCTCGTATTGCTTTGAAGTGAAGAGAGCTAATTGCAGAAAAGAAGATTGCTCAGCATGAAACAATACAGCCAGGCTAAAAGCTTATTCTACAAAACTAGGAAGATAACTGGTGAAGAAGAAAAAGGAAAGGAGAAAGCTGAAAACAGTACGCTTGGAAAGATGGATTTCATTGCTTTGGTTCTCACTTCAAAGTCATCCTAATCTGATCACAGGTTACTAACAGCAACAAGAAGGTGTAGGTGTAGCACAGGTTATTTCAAGACATAACAGGCTAGAAAATTTATCAGGTAAGATAAATCCTTTTTGATAGGTAAATTCCATCAAGTCCAGCTGATACCAGATCTGTTAGCAATCTTTGAAAACTGCTGAGAATAGACTGAGTTCACAAGACAAGAAAAGAGCAGGCACAGTTTATGCAATTTCAAAGCAGGAAGGTCATGTAATGAATTTCTAGATAGACTGAGAACAAAATAAGAACAGATAATCAAGCAGTCTCCCCATTAACACTTCAAATTTGTATGGTGACAAATAACAAACACCATGGGCTTGTCAAGGACAAACTGTAAGTAATTTATCTTATTTTCCTTCTCTGACAGACCAAGAGGCCTTATGGATAAGGCAGAAGCCGTAGATCACATATCTGCATCTTAGCTCTCTTTTTGACATTTTGAGATTCTCACAAACGAGCCCGGAAAACCTGGTTTGGTTGAATGTGCAGTTATGCCAGCTGCATAACTGTGCTGAAAAAACAGCTGTGACAGATTTAAGGATTCACAGCCAGCAAGATACATTGATTAGGGTTTTCCAGTATCATTGAGAGACTTGTTAAGTCACTTGTAACCTCTACCTTTCTCTAATTTGCAGACAAGTTGTAAGCACTTTGTGAAATAAGATTACAATTATTTTGACCAACTAGAGCAGAATTCAGACAACAGAGCACAATTCAGCACCAAAAAGCATAGAAAAACACATTTGTGAAGAATTTCAGAAGAACATGAGGCAAAAACACTGAGTAAGTGACAACTGCTCAGAAAGGAGTCTGAGTATGACAGTGAATTAACTGAACACAGCTCAGTGGAATCCCACAAGCTCAGCTTTGTGGCTTCATGGTGCTGGGCAGTGCTGCAGAAACCTGGGCAGTAGATGCACAAACTATCCTCCCACTTGCCCTCCATGGGCCTGTGCACAAAGGATTCAAAGTCCTTCTAAAATGTACAAGGAAAAACCCTGGGGAGGATCCTGCATCAGAGGGCAGTGAGACATCTGGAATGTAGGACAGGTAGGGAACAACCAGGGGCTGCTTAGAAAGGAAAAGGGGAGATGCTCTCAGTCTTTTATGAGCAGAAAGGCGGGGGAAAAGAACAAGGCAATAGATCCACTGGGTAAACAGATCTGAATTATAGCAAAAGAAAATTTAAGTTAATGTGGCAAACAAGTAGCAAAGAAGCAGATAGAGATTGTCTGGAGGGGGTTAGAGATTGTCATTACTGCATTTTTACATAGAGTAGTTAAATAGCTCTGTGTGGGGAATGCTGTAGCATGGTCTTGTCTTTCTCTTGGTTTTGAAGACATCAGATGGTTATCAAAATTCAAAGTACATTCCATAAATCTTACTGGGTTTTAACATCATGTATAAATCCATATCACACTTAGTTCTTGTTTTATACTCCTTTGTGGAAAGCTAGAAGATATAAGCCAGTAATAAATATGGTACCTAAGAAGACTACTCAAAATATCCAGGGAATCAGAAACCACAAATGCATAGTGTTGCTATTTAAAGACATATTTTTGGGTACAGATATAGCCATGAAAATTCATAAAATACTGACCTACACACTCTACTTTCTCCTTATGGATATGTCCTGATTAGATTATGTGATTGTCAGCATTGCCTTAAATTCTGTATGAGACATAGATTGTGTTTGCCTGATCTGAAGTCTGCTGCAGTCAGTAGGAATCTCTCTAATGCTCTTTAGTGCATTACTTTTCTGTTCTATCAGTTTGTTCTCTAGAGATGCTCATAATCATCTGAGCACTTTCCAGCTGTGCTGTCAGCAGTGCAAGTGAAATACACCATGTGCTTGTTTGCTCCCTCTTTCTCCCAGAAATGTGGGCACAGTTGGGTGTATTGTGTTCATTAGGGTTTTCCTTTTGTTTTGAAAGTGATGTGACTGTTGAATTTTGAAAAAATGCTCTAATGCATTAATTATGTCTGTCTAAAAACTTCCTAATGTAATGTTTTCCAAGGACACACAATCAAGGACAAGAGCATAAAAAATTATTCCCTGTTGGTATATGCAGTTAGTATGAGAGTCGAAATCTCCATTCTAGGAAAAGCAAAAGAGATTCCTGTGCTCTTTTGATAGGGCCAAAATTTCCTTCAAGATGTTTTACATTTCTTCAGCAACAAATAGGGTAACAACCAATCAGCAATGCTTAGAAAGCATTTTAATTATGCAAAGTTGCAGGAAGCTGCTAAACCCTGTACCTTCCCAGTGAGACACACTGTCCTTCTTTCATGAATGGAGAAACTGAAACCATGGCCATACACCAGTGGGGTTGCAGCAGGATGCTCTCCCTGGAATGGGGTAAAATAACTTGAGCAGTGTCCTGTTTGCAATGCTGTCGGTGGTGAACAAAGAACGGGATTCATGCTGCCTTTGGTATTGAACAATAGCTGAAGCCAAGTCTGACTCAATCCCAAAGTTAAACACTCTGACAGTGAGATGACAATGTGGCAGACCTGCTAAAATACCTGGATAAAGGAACAAACGAGTGCCACTGCTGATAGTTTATCTAAAGCTCTGAGCTGACACAGCTGGCCTGGAGACAGAATGGCTGACAGACAATCACCCAGCTCCAAATTGAACAGCAGGGCCTTCTACCACAGCCCTTCCTGCAGTGCATGTGTGGGGACCTATCCCCTGAGTGGGGATGCTCTTCGAGGTTACCTTTCAAGGCTGAGTGAAAGAAACTGGCCCTTGGTCACTGATATGGGTGGGTAACATCGATCTGTTAATAACAATTAAATATCAATTAATTTTTTTTTGCTAGCTTTAATACAATTGTTTCAATATTGCTTTGTGGTGTACTATAATAGTTGTTATATCTCCTATACTGTGTTATAGTGTATAATAATATACTGTGTTATAGTATATAATAATTCTGGCTAAGATTGTTTTGTCTAATCATTATAATAATAAAAACATTATATTTATTTATTTAAATATATCTGGTTTGCTGTCCTTCATCCTGTGGGACAAAGTTGTATAAAGGTTCAGTTATACCTATATAATCCTTTAGACATAAACTGTTGATGAAGTCTGGGGTTAAGACTGGATCCAGCCATACGCAGACTCTATGAGGGGTTAAAAACAAGGGGATCCTTTCTATACCTGGTAACTCAACAGGAGGGTTTCTTTAATAAACTTTATCTGAAGCTCCCATTCTACCCCTGACAATAAGGTGCTCAATAAGAATAAAATGCAAGACTTTGCACTATCAAGTCAGAACTGTGACCACTACAGCTGATAGCACCCAGTGCTGCCAGGGGCTCAGGAGAGGAGCTCCAGGGACACCCACAGCCCTATCTGACCTGCACAGCCCCAACCTGGGCCTGTCCCCACCCCTGCCCATGGCCCAGAGCCCATCCAGGGCAGCCTGGGCTCACCAGGCTCTGTCCCAAGGGTACAGGACACGCCAGTCCCCAGCCATGCTCCAAGCTGTGGCCCTGGCCCCAGCCCTCTCTGCTTTTGGTTGCCCCCTGGTTTATCCCCTGCCCTGCTGGGGCTGGTGTGATCAGCCCCAATTCTGCTCTGGGCTCAGTCCCTGCAGGATGGTGTTCAGAGTGCCCTAACAACACACTGGACAAAGAACCTACAGGAAGTCCTAAAAATGCCCAACTGTGCCCTTATTCTGATATGGAAATAAAATAATTACCTTTAAAAAATCCGAAATCTTACTTCTCTGGCAGCCGGATGGAATTACATCCACTTTTTTAATCAATGAAGGAAATTTTGGCCCTATCAAAATAACAAATAATGATTTATAGAAAATAATAAATAATGCTTTAGAGAAACCACAGAATGTATGAAGCCAAGGAGAAAGAGGAAATATTGTGGAAGAGACATCCAGATGTTGGAGCAGTAACTGGAGTTCCTGCTGTAGGCTTATAAAACATAATTTCAGGTTTGAGTAGAAGACACTTTAAACAGCAACTGCTGTATGAGGAAGGTGCATACAGGCATGAGGAAGGTGCATACAGGCATGAACATGACAGGCAGCAAGTGATGAGACTG